AATGAAATGTTTTTAAATTGTATAAAATACCTAAAAATAAATCTTCTTTTTTTGTCAAATCAAGGTTTTCTTCGACTGCACTTATTCTTGTTGAAAAAACTTTACAATAGCAGATTAAGAAAAATACAAACAATAAATTTCTTCCTTCTAATTTGAATAGAAATAACTTATTCTTTCTCCTTCATCCAAAATGAAATTCACAAACCATTTTTCTTCTTATCTTTCTCTGATTTTAGTGAATGCACAAGTACAATTTCATTCTCCTAACGCTCTCCTTCCTATGTATTATATGCAAACATCTCCTCCTTGACTCGCCCGGATTTCTCTTCTCCTTCGCTGATCAAAGTCGTTCTCACTCTTTTGTTTCGTCTCCACTGAACTTCCAGCGAATACATCATTTTTCGAAATTAAATATGTGAGGAGTTGCGTTTGTTTCTTGCTCAATCGCACTGCTTCATTGTCGCCTGCTCGCTCGGTCTCTACCACTCACTCACTGTGCTTGGTCTCTACTTCTCCACATGCTTTGTACGCGTGCCTCACTCGCTCAATCTTCCACTGCTACTAGACTGGTTTGATTAAACTGGTTCTGTCAAATGGGTTATAACAATTATTTCCTAGCTTGGAATGATCAACGGATATTCCCAGCTATGCCTCTGCCAACCTTGCATCATTCAATCTTCTCCTCTGCCTCCCTCACAGCCTGCAAGCTGCTGTCTTACTTATGGTATCCTCTAGCTTTATTCTTGATGAGGAATGGAATTATTTGCTGCGTTCATTCCTGAAGTAGTTGTAAGTAATTACGTTGACTTCATTCACGTTTTTCCTTCTTTATTGTGTTGGTATGGCCTTATTTTATAACTTAGGTTTCTTTCTGTTATACACACACAACTTGGCTATAAATATTGTACGTCTTCTGCCTATTAGAATAAGAAAAATGAAGCATTGTAATCCTTTATTTTTCAGCAGTCTCTTGAATCTATTATCGGACCCAGAAACTAGACTTTCTAACATTAAATTGCAGCATCCCTGATTTTGCTTGTTGACGTTTATATTTAACTTTCAACCAAATAATCTGTAACAATTTTTCTGAAAGTATACAATCTTTTTATTTATTTTTGCAAATTTTGTATCAGGTATCATATTCCACTATCTTGGTTCAAACC